ATCCATGTCTTTATTTCTTATGAAAACAACACCTTGAAGGAACGATTATTCTCTCCATGTTACAGAGGACACTGAGGTAGGTGTTGTCTGTAGGTCACACAACTTGGAGCCGAGGTGCAACCCTGCTGGGATAGGGGGGCTGTTGAAGTTCCCAACAACTGGGAATCTGTCTGGAAAATTACCAGTGCAGACTCTGTGGATAGAATGTGTCCCAGAAGAGGGCTCAAGTGGGAATAGGCCTGGCTGACTGGAGGAATCAGATGCTGGAATTAGGAAGTATGGGCTCAAAGGGCACTTCGAGGTCATCTCATTTAGTGGTTTTGAAGCTTTTGACCACAAAGGACTGCAGCTATTAATTTTCCCTAGAGACTCTCTATTTTAAAATATTTCATCTGGTTAAAAAAAATCAAGAAATAACTCCATTTTCTGTTTTTATTAGTCAAAGATATAATAGATGACTCCAAACAGAGCTTCTGGTCAGCATGAGGCGACCTGTCTTTCCATACAAAGTGGCTATCACTCCAGTCGAGTGCCTAGAAGTGCCTTTTAGTGAGCCTGCGCGGACTTAGGAAAGGTGGGGATGGCAAATGTACAATTTCATTAGGCTTGTTCAAGTTTTGGAAATTGTTCAAAGACAGCCTCTCCACGAGGAGTGCTTTCAGAATGTGCATGCATCTTGTGGTCCCAGTTGAAAACCATGGATCCAGACAGAATGCTTTGCTTTATTCTCGAGGAAACTAAGGCTCAGACAGGGTAAGTAAAATTTCCAAAGTCACCAAGTGAGTTAGTGTATAAAAGGAGGAGCAAATAGTGGCACAATGCATGTCACCTGGACCCACTAACCACTCCAAGGCGAGTTGACTGGTTCATTCTGCAGCGACTTCTGCAACTTACAAAAGTTCAAAGATCATTCTGCCGTTTTAAATTCTGAGCGTTTGTTCTTATGATCCAGCTCCTATTTCCTTGGATGTTATGCCTGCTTCTCCCTAAATCACCCCAGGCCCATAGTGGTCCTCACGTTCCACAATCAAATCCACCCGATAAGCGTTTTGAGTGGGCAAGCTGTTGAGTGCGTAGCTTCTGCTCTCAAGCCAATTCTCTTTTGTCTTTCTTTACATCTCTGATATCATCCCCTTCCTTCCAGATGGTGTCTTCCTGAACCTTTTGATCTGTCTGATCTCTGTCAGTGGCTGGGTAGGGTGACCACATTATCATCACAGACTTGGGGAGCTTCTCTCACGGGTCCCACCCTCCTCACCTCAGCAGCTGGGACCACAAACAGAGATTCTCATTCTTCACTGCTATCCAAACTCTGGCGCGAGGAAAAGAGGGACATGGGAGATGAGATGGTTGATCTTATTACAGAATAAAGGCTTGTTGCCAAAAATCAGCCAGTCAGTGAGTCAATCAGTCAGTCAATTCCATCTAAGCCTCGTCTCTATATTTCCAATCCAAAACACATAGGTACCTTCATACCTGACATTCTATTTGACCCTTATATCAAGTCTGGCCTATTAGTCAGCTCAGGCTGCCATAACAAAATACCATAAATTGCATGGCTTAAAAAAAGAAATTTAGGGGAGCCTGGGTGGCTCAGTGGGTTTAAAGCCTCTGCCTTTGGCTCAGGTCATGATCCCAGGGTCCTGGGATCGAGCCCCACATCCGGCTCTCTGCTCAACAGGGAATCTGCTTCCCTTCCTCTCTCTCTGCCTGACTCTCTGGCCTACTTGTAGACTCTGTCTATCAAATGAATAAATAAAATCTTAAAAAAAATTATTTCTCATAGTTCTGGAGGCTGGAAGTCCAAGATTTAAGGTGCCAACATGGTAGGTTTCATCCTGAGGCCTCTTCTCTTGGCTTGTAACAACTGCCATCTTTCTGCATGTGTTCAATAAGATCTTTTTATTGTGCACATGTGGAAAAAGAGAGAGCGTGCTCTTTGGTGTCTCTTCTTATAAAGGCACTAATCCTATCATGATGGCCCCACACTCATGACTTCATCAAACCCGAATTTCCTCCCAAAGACCCCATCTCCAAATATCATCACAGTAAGGGTTAGGGCTTCAACATATGAATTTTGAGGGAACACAAACATTCAGTAGATAACACCCGGGAAAAAAGTTTCTGCTAGTTTTCCAGATGAGAAACTGAGGCTCATAGAGCTAAATATATTAGACTGAGTCCACAGGGGAGAGGACTGGAAGAGGGTAGTGTCCATCATGATGGCCTCTCCATGCACCCTGATGCTTACCCGACTCATTTCCTTACCCCCATCCACCCAGGAGCCTGATGTGCCATTCAAGCACAATTGAGCTATTTTTTTCTAAATTCTTTGAATTTAGAAAATGTCCACAAATTTTTTTTTTTTGAAACATGTCCACAAATTCTTTGAGACCCCTCCCTTCAAAAGGTGAACTCTAATTTATCTCCCCTTCAATATGGGCTATACTCACCAACTCACTTCTAACAAACAGAATGTGCCAGAAGTGTGGTGTGAGATTTCTGAGATTAGGTCTAAAAGACACTGTGACTTCCTCCTTGCTGTCTCTCATATCACTGGCTCTGGGGAAGACAGCCACTGTGTAGTGAAGATACTCAAGAAGTCCTAGAGAAAGGCCCATGTAGCAAGGAACAAAGACCACCTGCCAACAACCATGTAAACGTGCCATCTAGGATGGGATTTGTTCAACCACAAACAGGCGTCAGATGACTTGGCTGTCATCAACCTCCTCAGAGATCCTGAATCAGAACCGCTAGTTCTCTCTCTCAGATTCCCAACCAACAAGAAAAGACAAATATGTGTGTTGTTTTAAGCTCAGTCTCCAGCTTCTAAATTTTAAAGACATCAATAGGTGTCTTTACAAATACAAAGGGAAAGACATTTTATACTTTTCTCAGTTCTCCATTCTCCGTACAACCCCTGTGGCCAGGCCATACCAACATGTCTGAGCACCTGTTTCCTCTCACAGGAGATCACAATAATAATCCCACATGGCATGCCTGATACGCACATAACCAGCCCTGACTGGCTCAAACTAAGTGCTTGAGTAATTGCGACTGTTGTCAACATCTCACCAGCTGTGTGGCTTCTCTAGGTGAGTTGCTGTGTCTTGGTTTCAGATGCCCACTTCCCTCACATGAGGTGCCAACCTCAACCTTAAGTTGGTGCACCTTGCCCACCAGAGAGCCCTAACTGCCTAAACCTCACGGCTTCTCCAGTTCAGTGTAGACAGAGAGCCCTGGTGTAGAGAGCCTCTCTCCTCTCTCTTGGTTTTCTGTTAGCCTCCATTCTTAACCTTAACCTTTCATCTCAGAATTTCAGCTTTGATGCTTCCCACTTCCTTCCTATGGTTACTTTAACTGAAGTGAGTCAGGTCTTACTGAAAAACACCACAGCCAGTTAGCCTCTATCCTCCCCTGGACCAGGGCTGCCTGGTCAGACTGTGAGGGTGATCAGTGTTTACTCAGACTATTGTTTCCCTCTCTCTTCTCCAAGTCACGGGGTTTTGAGTAGGGCTTCCCCCGCCACCATGCCCCTCCCAACAGACCGCAATCAGAAGCCAATCTCACATTCTTCGGTGGCTGAAGGAGGGAACAGAAGGGATACCAGTGCCTGGAATCCTTGGGTAGTCTATCAAGTGGGCTGATCTGCTTATATTCTACTCTTTTGGGTGGGCCTCTAATCTCAACTCAAGGAGGATTTGGTAGGTTTTGCAGACCAGTAACAACCAAATGTATGTGTGGGGGCCATCTCTTAGTGCCAGGAGTCATGTTAGCTCTTTATCTGAATTTTCACGACAACCCAGATAGATTAGTATTCACCCAGACCTTTGGGGTTTGAAGAAACAAAACCAAGCAATACAGAACAAAACAAGCAAACAAACAACACCCCACCCCCCGCCACAAGAAAACAAAGACAAAAAACACTTAAAAAGTCATCTGCCTATCTTTCTAATTTTGGTATCTTTAGAATCTTGTCCTTAGTCTTGAAAATCAGCATTCTCTTTAAGATCTTAAGGATAATTTCTTAAAGGACAGAGTTTGTAGGAAGATCATGGCAGTTTTTGCTATTGGCTTTTGAAGGGAAAATAGTTTTTTCTCCTGATCAGATTTGGAACTTACTTCTTCTTTGGGAGAGGGTAGCTGGCTTGTTTTCTCTGGAATGCAGAATTCTTTTATCTACTCCCTCCTATCTTGAAAATATTGAGGGAATTACTTTATTTTATTTTTTTATTTTATTAAAGATTTTATTTATTTGTTAGAGAGAGAGAGAGAGAGAGAGAGAGAACACGAGCAGGGGGAGGGGCAGAGGAAGAAGCAGGTTCTGTGCTGAGCAAAGAGCCCGATGTGGGACTCGATCCCCAGACCCTGGCATCATGACCCGAGCTGAAAGCAGATACTTAACTGACTGAGCCACCCAGGCATCCCTGAGGGAGTAATTTTTAGTCAAACAGAAGTCAACTGACACCATAATATGATTTTAATGATTCTTTATTTATTAAAAATTAAAATCTGCTATGAAAACAGACAAACAATGTAACATTCCCAGAGGAATTGAATTGCTTCTAGTTAACACTGAGTTCTATTAGAACCAACTTTAGGTTGTTATAAATAACAAGCAGGCCACAGCTTTCAAGAGTGAATGGTTGGGGAATGAGGTCAAGGGAATTCCTCTGAGCCACTGGAATATTAATTATCAAAGGGCCTCCCTAGTTTCTCTTCTTAAGAGGGTAAGAGTCTTTATAACACTCTAGGAGCCCCAGGCCCAGGGACAAGAGAAATTATAGGAAGGTCAGGGAAATAGCTATCCAGTATGGTCAGCTTGAAATGGAAGCGTCAGTAGTCTCCCCAAGAAATATATTTTTCCTTATATAACTTATAGTTTCCCTTAAAATACTCAAATGCCACAGGGTATCACCCTATGAAAACAGCTTACACACAGGTAAAAAAAAAAAATAAATATTGAAAAAGATTACAATATTGGGCTTCTTTCTAAATAGTTCACAGAGAAGCTCAGTAAATAAATATAATGGGAGTTGAGGTATCAGAGGTAATAAATATTTTAAGAGAGAGGTACGACAGGGTTCTCCAAGGAGTTGTTCAGCTCTCCTACATCCCGGATGGGATTTTCAGATCTCCAACTTATGTGCTAGAGTTGAGAAGAGTCCTCATCCTGGATGTTTTCAGATCTTCATCCTCATTGTCATGTAGGTTTCTATGTAGTTGATGAAGATGTCAAACTCACTCATGGCTTTGTAGACACCTCTCTCTTGGAGCTGTGTAGAAAGATAAGAAATGTTTCGTGAAAGCCCCATCTGTGTGAGCAAATGGGTCCCTGGCTTGGATGGGTATGTCTCTGGGGCCCAGGTGCCACATTTGCTCTCTTGGGTCAGGAGGTGAAGGACAGACCCTAGGATGCTGAGGGTATGCCCGGGGCCTTGGGAAAGGCTACACATGGGTCTAAAGCCTGGCTGGCAAGTAACAAGAGGAAGAGTCTACAAAATGAGGCCTTAACAATTTTAAAAGTCATGCACTCACATGACTCTTATTCAGAATCTGGAGAGAAGACATTAGAGGAACCGCTTCGAAAGCAAGTTGGTAAGAGGAGAAAAGGGACCCCTTTTATGTTTATGTCCTCTCACCAATGGATTGAATAGGCCCTGCCCTGCTCCTTTGGCCTACAGTCAGGGGGCTTATGTCCCCCGAGACTGGAACCCTCCCACAAAGAGGACAGAGACCACATGGCTTCTGGGAAGTGGGTTAAGGAGTTCACGGACAGCTGAAGTGCGAAACCCCATGTGATCTGAGAGTTGACATTCTGAGGCACCTTGGCAGGTGTGAATGGCAGCTGGAAAGGGAGTACGGACCGACTCGAGATTAACGAGAATTTCCTACTCAGAGCTTTGGGGAGTTCCAGCTGAACCCCTGGGTGTGTTTGTGTGTGCACATTCACGTGTCGGCTTCCTGCACGTGTGGCTTTAGTCTAGATTCCCAACAAGCTACTTTCTGTTTCCTTTGTCACTCTCCCCAGCATCTAGCTCACTGCGTTCACAGGCCGGCTGACTGGCTCAACCCACAGGCCTGAAAAGGCGGGGAACAGTCATTTAGAAACCCCCAAAGACACTTCACAGAAAACAAATGTAATCAAGGCAGCAACTCCTCACTGGCTGAGGAGGTCACACCATCTGTTGGGTTCCCACACCCCCTTCAAGAGAAGGACGGGGCCTGCTTAGCCCCTGCCAGGTTGGGGAGCGGGTAGAGGTCACGGTCCCCAAGCCCCTTCTGCCGCCGTCCACGTACCTTACTGAAGGCGCTTTTCACCTGCTCCACCGCCTTGCTCTTATTCTCACAGGGCAGAAATCGATGCTGTGGAGGGAAAGAGAAAGTGTTAATGCCACTGGCTCCCAGCTCCAGTGTCCACAGCACTTGGGGGATGAGCCGGTAGCATGAAGAAGCGGCCAGACTCATCTTGGATACCTTTGGGAGAACGGAGCTCCACCTCCCCCTGGCCCACTAGACGGAGGAGAAACAGCCCTGGGGAATGAAAAGTGCTTCTCCAGGAGCCACTCAGAGACTTTGCAAAGCTTGCATGAAAACCCAGGAGCTGGAGCTTGGCGCTTCCTCTCTGGACGCCACAGTGCTGACACATGCTGAGCCAGCCGTTCTGTCCTTCCCTGCCTCCCTGTCCTGTCCCTCATCTTCAGTTCCAGCCACAGGGACCATTTCTAAGTCCCCGAGGAGTAGAGACGCAGTCTCAGCCATGTACACTGAAACCTTTGCCGAGTCCCATCCTACAGATAGAGAACAACTGACTGACTCCCCGATCCTCAGCGACAAAACAGAGGAAACGCGTGGCGAGGGGCTCATTTCAGTTGGAGAACATTTTTATCCTGGGGAATTATTTAGAGACACTAGCTTGGGGGTGAGTAGCTCCCTGGAGCCCTTCCAAAGTGCTTGGGGAAGTCCTGTCAGTCCGTTGGGCCCCACGTCAGAGCTCTGTTTTCAAAAGGTAGAGGATTAAGAGGTAAGTGGGGTTTCTTCTCCGAGGGACCCTATCTCCTGGCCCGTTTTGCTGGGCCCCGGGGTCTAGGTCCAAAGGGATGAGGGAGCCCAGACGGAAGCTCTGGGCCCCTTTCATAAAGAGAGACGGGAGTAGTTAATAACCTACAAATGACTCACAAATAACAGGAAAGCTGTTCGCAAACATGTAAATGCCAGCAGCCTCCCCCACTCCTTGCTCAGAGAGAAATGAGCACGAGATGGAACTCGAGCGCCTTCCCGAGAGTGTTCCTGCCAGTCTGTCTGTCTGTCTGGGTGTGAGTGGGGTTTCAGGAAGGGCGCCCCAGAGCTGCCCGCACTCACACAGCGCCGCAGCCTCAGCCGCAGGGTCTTCAGCTTTTCCCCCAGTGAGTTCACGTGCTCCTTGACTTCTGGGTCGTGGTTCTCAGCCTGGGGCATCACCTCCTCCAAGTAAAACTGGATCATCTCCGACAGGGCTTGGCAACCCAGGTAACCCTAAGGGCAGGGGCAGGAGGGGGAGGGGCGGTGACTGGGAGGAAGAGCTGCTGCCCTAGCTTGAGAGGACAGCTTTGTCCCCAGGGACCTTTCTTAACCAGCCACCTCCCCCTCCCCCACCCCAGGACAGCCCTTTGGCTATGTGCTGAGTTAAGATCTTTCCACTTCTCCTTTTCAAAGCAAAGGAAGCAGACCCTGGTCCTAGCGGCCACTCTTCTCTGAGTCACGCTGCATCCTCTCCTCCCACACACCCCCTTGGGCTCTCACCTTAAAGTCCTCCAGCAAGGACCCAGTCAACAATATGCTGTCCAGCTTGTCCTTCATTTGCTGCAAGAAGAACAAAAGGAGAATGAACCTGACGTTTGAGGAAATGTCTTTCTGATGCCCTCTTATTTATAAAGCTTCTGACTTTTAATCAGAACAGCCTGGCCCCAAAATAGAAAGGAGATTTGCAAAACAGGACATTCAGTAGTGCTGGAACCCTCAGTTCAATCAGGTCCTTTTCCTCAGGATCAAGTGATTTTTAAAAAATTCTGCAAGGCTTTGAAGCCATGGCAGAAGCTTGACCTGGTCCTGGTTTCCTTTTTGCAGACATGAATCGGGTTCGAAGGGTCCACCCATGCCCACCCACTCTTCAGGGGTCCTTGCTTTTCTTTCTCCCCCACCCCTGCATGGCACCTTCCCCAGCCAGCAGGCTTCCAGGATCCAGAAGCCTGCTCAGCTGAAGCCACTTATGTTTCCCTGCAACAGGGCATGGGAACACATCTTCATCTTCAGTCAGACCCTTTGGGATTTCTCCCAGCCTACTGAGCTCTGGTGGAGTCTTCATTAAAAGTTGCTAAGCATGGGGCGCCTGGGTGGCTCAGTGGGTTAAAGCCTCTGCCTTTGGCTCAGGTCATGATCTCAGGGTCCTGGGATCGAGCCCCGCATCGGGCTCCCAGCTCCATGGGGAGTCTGCTTCCTCCTCTCTCTCTCTCTGCCTGCTTCTCTGCCTACTTGTGATCTGTCTGTCAAATAAATAAATAAAATCTTTAAAAAAAAAAAAGTTGCTAAGCATAGGATTCCTAGTGCAGTGACCTGTAAGGTGGCTTTTTCTGCACCTTTGCTGCATCCCTGGGCTTAGATGAACTCACTGAGCCTCTGGCTTGACCTGGGACTCTTAAAGAATTTTTGTTTGAGGGAAATGGATGCTAGGGATAGAGGCGAACAAGAAGGAGGAGGGTTCTTAGAGCTCTAGCACCATGCCTAGTAGAGGCAATTCCAGCAAGGAAGGACAGGAAGGCATCATACTCACAAAGAAAGTCTTCACCCTGCCGAAGGCTGCTCGGAGCTCTCGAAGCATGTGGGGCAGGCTGGCTGGGAAGTGGGTGCAGTTGTCCTCAGACAGGGCACTCTGGTGGCGGCTGGCTCCTACCCCGGCCAGCAGGACCAGGCAACACAGCAGCGCTGGGCTGGGCATGATGAAGCTCTGCCTTCTGAGAGCCGGTCTTGTGGTTTGGTGTTGCAAGAGCAAGTCCCTGGTGTGTAGACCTTCACCTACTGGTCCCCCTTTTATATTGTGGGTGCAGTGAGGCCTCCCCATTCATAAAAAGCCACAGAGTCACAGATTTCCTGGCAAACGTTTTCTTCTGATTAAAGCCCCTCCCTTCCCCTAGATCTCTCCAACTTTGCATTCGTTGAACTTCTAAAAGTTGTTAATTTTTTGCATTGTAAGCAAAAGGGATTGTTGAACAATGAACTTTTGCATTACAGCTATTTTAGGATGAGCTACCTCTCTCTCTGTTTTAAAATAACTTTCCAGCTTTTCTTAAAAAAAAAAAAAAGTTGGTTTCCTGGGTGAACAGCTGTTCTGTGCACAGGGACCCACAGTTGTGGGTTCCATTCGCGTGTTCCTAGGTCACAGTGACGTGGACAAATTGGCCATTCCAGAATGCACTGGAGTTGAGAAATAATCAGATCCCCTCCCCAACCTGGGTTTCCCTTGTTGAATTGTGGAGAGCCTCAGAGCCTTCCGCAAATAAGAACCCGGGGTGGGCTATTTAGCCCAGAGATCCCTCCGGCTCTTTCATCTTATGTTCCAAGATGTCCTCGTGCAGAGGCCGGCTTCTTGCAGGACAAGCAAGGACACAAGACGTGCTCCAGGCTCCTTCTCCAGCCCTGAGATCGCTTCAACTCTCGCAGCTATGTCTTTACCTCCTCAGCTGTCCCAGTACTTGGGGGAGGTTAGCAAGAGTAATCCACACGTTTGATAGCTCGGCACCTGCCAGCCCCTGGGACCCTTATCACCTCCATTTTATAGCGAGTAAACTTTACGTCACCTGCCCAGCTGCCCACCTGACTCTCAGACTTTGCACCCAGGCCTACCTGACATCACAGTCATGCTCCTTACTCCGTCTTCTCCACGCTGTCCCAAGTGTGTGGAACGATAAGGTTGGATTGAAGAGTCTTTATGATTTCTTTTAGTTGTGAACTTCTGTGGTTGGACACTTGTGCTTGAAAGATGGGGTATGAAGGAAATAGAAATAACAAGGAAATTAAGGCAGGATTCCATGAAGGCTGGACAGAAGGCTCCTTTCTTTTCTCTTACCTGTCCCTTCCTTCCTTCCGAAGAAGTCTTAGCCAATAGTCTTGGACTTGAACACGTGGACGTGTGTGTGTGTGTGTGTGTGTGTGTGTGTGTTTGAATGTGAGCGGGTCCGGGAGCCAGAGAGTGAGGAAGGTTGCTGTACTTCCAATAAGGAAAGGACAGGGGGAGTGAAATCACCTTTTCAGATATCTGGAAAGTCCCTGGGGGTCCCTTGATGTGCCTTGATCTTCTCCTTCCATAGGGTCTTTTCCTACCTCCCCAGGGAAGACAGTAACTAGGAAAAGCAGTACCTGGTCTCTGTCCTGGCTCTGTCAGTCTTTAAACCCAGGGAAAGTCACTTGACCTCCCTGTGTCTATAGTTTATCTGTCCCAAGAGGGCAACAGTCCTGCCCTCCTGCCTGCCAGGGGCCTTTGGGCTTCACCTGGGAGGGGCTTGAGGAAGTAACAAGTGGACCCAGATATAGGATTATCTCTAGTGTTTCTGTTATTTCGTTGTCCTCCTGTATCAGCACTGGGACAGCTTAGATGGCCCTATGTCCTAAGCCTGCCCCATTGGAGAAGGTCATTGTGCCAGTGCAAATGGGGCAGACATACTGGGGCCAGGCCAGTCTGGAATGAGTCTGGGGGGGGGGCAAGAAATGACAGGGCACAGCCCCAACCTGTGGGTGTACCTTGTGGGTCAGGATCGGGGGGCTGTGGCCTCCCCTTCCAATACTTTGGGGAGTGTCATGCAAAAACCTAAGGATCATGAAGGAAGAAAAGAACCTTTTAGAAACAAGAGCGGAGCTAAGGCAGAAATATTTGCTCTTGCTGATTTACCCTGGGCTTAGAAGGACTGGATTTTGCTGCCAGGAAGCAGAGAAAAGAGCTGAAGTTTCCATCCCTTCTACCCTTCTCTTTCCCCCTTGTCTCCTGGGTTTCCTGGGCTGTGCTTGCTTTAGCTCCTAAAGCTGATCGCCTATCTGAGTTGGGTGTTCTGGGTGCAGACTCCACATGAAAGAGTCAGGCCAGAGGCATCAAACCCCAGGCAAGGTTCTGAGGTCCTTCTCCCTGACCAGGCAGCACAGACCCCTCCTGTCTTTCTCTGCCATCATGCCCTGTACTTGCCTCCACTACCAAACCCACAATCTGACATTGTTGTCATTTATGTACACACCTTGCCTCCCCCTGTCAGCTGTGAGCCCCCTGAAGTAGGATGTTATTTTATTATCCTTTGTGTACCTGGTGCCAAGCACAGGGTTTGGTCCATGGAAGAAGGTGCCAGCTATCCAGCTTTCTCTTTTCATGCTGGGATGGGCATAGCAGAGTACATGATGAGCGTGTACCAGGGCTGGAGGACGTAACCTGAAGGAGGCTGGTCTGGTCTGGGCACAGGCACTCAGAAGGATAGGGAAGCAACCTAGGAAGGCAGACCAGCGTCTTTCACACTTTCTTCTTATAATTTGAGATCTATGCATAAACGCACAAATACTCGTACACATATACACGTGTGCAAGATGGCAGGGTGAAGGGAGGTGGGCAAAAGCCACTTCTTTCTTTAATCCATAAGCCATTAGGTAGGGTTAGGTATGGACTCTGACTTCTGTGTTTTGGAACATGTAGGCAATTACCTCAAGCCATTTGTTAAATAACTGATCTTTCCCCCACTGATTTAAAATCACTGTCCTCTCTCATTTCAAAATTTCAGAATCTAGGGGCACCTGGGTGGCTCAGTGGGTTAAAGCCTCTGCCTTCGGCTCGGGTCATGATCCCAGGGTCCTGCGATCGAGCCCTACATTGGGCTCTCTGCTCAGCGGGGAGCCTGCTTCCTCCTCTCTCTCTGCCTGCCTCTCTGTCTACTTGTGATCTCTCTCTGTCAAATAAATAAATAAAATCTTTAAAAAAAATTTCAGAATCTAAAAGATCAAGGATAATCATAGCAAAATTTCTGATGTAACTCCTTAAGTAACAAATCGAGACACCAGTATCTTTCCTATCAACATATAGGATTGACATCAAGCTGATAGAAGAAAACAGGGATGACCATTTTGGGAAAAGTTAAGAGCATCTGCTATTATATTGACAAAACAAGAATAAGAAAAATAGGCATCGTTCTATTTCTCAAGTTCATTTGAAAAGTCATTATGATCCATTGGGAAAAGTCTCAAACTCATAGTCACATCTGAGACATAAATGTCAATAGTCTGCACATTATAGGAAGTTTGAGTTTGGGTTTTTGTACAAGGGAAGAGCCCTTGTAGGGGAGGAAGTGAGAGAGTGGGTATCCATGGACGATCGAGTGTCAGTCTGGGTGCCATTTTGTTCTGCGGCAGATTTCAAGAGGACTCAAATGCCACTGATCACTGTGAGCTCCATGAAGGCAAATGGCCTGAGTCCAATTTTCCCTCAAGTTCAGATGCATAGCAGGGCCTAAGAAATTATCATTAAATTCAACCTAAATGACTTATTCCAGTAAGGACTCTCTGGGGAATCAGAGGAATGTTGTGGGAGAGGAAATACCTCCTCCTTTCCACCCCTGCTGCAGAATATTCCCAAATTTCTATATTCAGCTGCAAATAAAAAAAATCTGATTAATTATACCTTAAAAAAGAAAAGGATTGTATTTTTTGCTTTCACTTAACATGAAGTCAGAGACAGGCAGCCCGAGGCTCATGTCAAGCACAGCACTCATGTCATCTAGAACCTGCTTTTTCTTGCCTCCCTGTTTTCTTCTCCATTGTTGCAAGATGCCAGAGAGAAGGGACTCGGGCAAAGTCCAAAGACATGTCAATCCAGGAGATCCTAACAATCTTTCCAGAAAGCTCCCCTCAGTGAGTTTTGCTACTTTAGCTGCAGAGGGGTCCAGGCAGATAAACACTGCCAGTTGTGTATGTGTGTGTGTGTGTGTGTGTGTGTGTGTGTGTGTGTGAGAGAGAGAGAGAGAGAGAGAGACAGTGTGTGTGTGCTGTGTAAATACATTTTGAGGGTCCCATCTAAGGGCATAAGAACTCATAAGGAATCTTCCAACTACCCTCATGCTCAGCAAAATGGCAGTCTTCCTGGTGTCATTGCTCTGCACCTTGCCAAAATCCACGGTTCAGACCCAAGAGGGAGGAACAGTCCTGTGGGGCTCCACTGGAACTGCAAATGGAAGGCTAAGAAATGGGGGCTTGCTGCACTCAGGGTTCAGCTACCTTGCCTGGCAACAAGGGCCTCTCATGAAGGAGCAGGTAGGTCAGTGATACAGGTAGAAAAGGTGGAATGGCACCCAACTGAGCCAGGGGAATGACAGTCCCGATGGAGAATTCCCTTGGGGTTGGGCTTCTGCTCACTCATTAGCAAGTTGTTATTTTAGAGCTGATAACAGGAGTTTCATTTCTTCTTACTTGGGACATCAAGTATGTATAATGTTTTCCCCAGCTTGAAATTTCTAGTATCCCCTTGAATAACCTTCCTTAGCATCCTGGACAGAAGCTTCCTCAGCTTCTATGCCGCAACAGGCCTGGTCAGCGCATGGAGTCCGGCAACACAATCCCAAGTGTGGCTGGGCGGGCACAGGGCTCTATGGCCCTGTCTGCCTCTGGGCTTCTCTGACTTTGGTGTTGTGGCTGGACTGCTTCAGAATATGGGCCAGGTGGATCAGAAGTTTCAAAGAGCCCAAGGAGGGGCCACCCCTGGGGCAAATCAAGCAAGGGTTATGCAAACTGGATTGGGCGCCCGTCCTAGGATCGTGGCCGGCAGATGCTGCAAACCACAGCGGAAGGGCTGATCTTTGGACAGCCAATGTGGAATTCCCCTTTGTGCAACTGGGGTGCCAAATCAAGCAATTTGGATTTTCCTTAGTGGACAGACACTGTGATCTGTGACTTCTCACATGAGAAAATGGGCATACAGGGGCCAGGACACAC